CTTTGGTCCCTTAACGTTTGCGCCTGTGTGCTCCCTTACTGGCCCACTATGATGGTTAACCATTTGGTTTGAGCAGTCGGTTTGTCTTAGTTGTCAGTCAGGGACTATGTAGCCGCCCAACAGACCCATTCTTTATCATACTTTCCTAGGCATCCTTTCAGTTTGCTGGCCATTTTCTCGTATATACTAATCACATTCATTTTGTTGATAATCACCTCTATCTGAGGAATTTGTTTGCTTTTCCAGTTACCAGCTAAAGCTACTTTTGCTATCGTCAGTATATTCAGAATCACTTTTTTGTGTGGATGCGTGACTAGGTCTGGTATGACATGTAATAAGTACTTTTCCGGTCGCAATGGGATAGAGGTGCCAGTTTTACTCAAGATCAGGATTTGGATTTGTTTCCAGAATCCGTCTAGCAACGGACATTTCCAGAACACATGCAGCATGGTTCCAGTGTCCGACTCACATCTCCAACACAAGTTCGTAGCGCCTGAGTACATACTCGCTAGTCTCTGTGGTACCAGATACCACCTCATAGTTATCTTGCAGTAGGCCTCCCATGGCGAGAGGCTACTCGATGCCTGTTTTGTATTTGCCCTTGCAGACTGCCAGTCTGCTTGGGAGATATGAAATCCCAGGTCCTGCTCCCATTTTGCCATGTATTTCAGTTTATCTGGGGTGTTTTCTGTGACCAACGCATTGTAACATAGGGAGAGTGGTTTTGCTGCCTTTATCAGAGATAAGTGGCTAGGTTGGAGTACCGGAGAGTCAGTTCTAGCGGCTGTTTGGTTACCATGGGTTAGTATTATGTTTTTGATCCTTAAATAAAGGTACAGATCTCTCAAGTCTAACCCCAGTTCCTCTTTCAATTCAGGGAATGGTTTCACCGCGTCTCCTGACATTAAATCCCTCACTAATCTCGCTCCCTTGTTGAGCCATTTGCCCACCTGTATGCCTGGGGAGTAGGCTGCTAGGGTCGTGATGGGTGCCTCCCTAAATAACCGTACTGGGTCCAGCACCTTCGGACACCAGGTCTTCCATGCTTTAAGCATAGTGATCGAGCATCTCAGGGTCATGCCCACAGATGTTCGGGGCGTGGAGCATGTCCACAAGTAATGGACTGTGTCGTGTGCCTCTAGGCATTCATTTTCTAATGACAGCCAGAGCGGTTTACGGGGGAAATTATGGATCCTGATGAGTCGCAGACCCTGTGCCAAGAAAGAGGCCCTGTAGTATGCAGGAACATCCGGCATCCCCAGTCCACCTTGGACGTAAGGGAGACCCAGACACTCTTTATTCACTCTCGGGGGTTTCCTCTTCCAGATGTGTGCATTGATCGTGCTTTGGAATTGTTTGAGCAGCGCAGTCGGGAGGGATATGGGCAGGGTTCTGAATAGGTATAGTATGTGTGGAAGTGTCATCATTTTAATTAGATTGATACGTCCGAGCCAGGAGGTATCCATACTAGCCCACTGTTCGAGGGAGGATTTGATTTTCTTTAGCACGGGGTAGTGCTTTTCTTTGATCACCGTTTGAAGGGATTTGGTGAGGTTTACACCTAAGTATTTTAAGGAATTGGTGCGCCAATCAAATGGGTCCTGCGGTTTTATCCTTTCTAATGTAGGTTTTGGTAGGTTTATGGGTAGAGCTTGCGTTTTGGTTATGTTGTTTTTATAGTACGATATCTTCCCATAGTCTACCAGCGTTCTCATGAGATTGGGAAGGGAGGACTCTGGTTTTGTAACAAACAGTAGTATGTCATCGGCAAACAGAGCTAGTTTCTTTTCGCCCCCCTGGGTGTGCAGCCCATGTATATTGGGATCATTTTTTACTATTCTTATTAGCGGTTCCAAGCATAGGATAAATATTAGGGGGGAGAGGGGACAGCCTTGTCTGGTGCCATTACATATGGCGAGCCTGTTAGATACGAAGCCCGTGCTAAAAACATACTGTTTCCTTCTAACGTGTATTAAAATCATTTGCAAATTACATCATAATCCAGTTCAGACAAGGCAATCCAAGACTGAAAAGGAGAAATTGATACATTGTTTTCTTCTCTTTATTCTGACTGGCAGGTGAAGAACTTATAAGGATGATTAAAAGGGAGCTAAGATGGAGTTGTCCATTTGCAGGATAAAGAGGTATTGATTTCTACATTTAATTTCATTCTTCACACCACACAAATACATATTTCCTAAATTTAGGGACGTGTTAATATACTATTAAAAATCCATGGAAGTCACAGTTCCCCTTTATTTATAACCTTTAGATTAAAATGAATCCCAAGTGGGGTGTTTCACTAATGCAACAATTGTGTAGAACTGACTAGTGAACTGTAAATTTGAATCCATATTTGCCAAGGTGGAGAAGTAGTTGAGTTTGACAATATGTCACTGTGGTGACTTATGCGCTCAACAAATTTGAAACATTCCCCGAGTCCTCACATTTGAATGTCCAGTGCTTCCCAAATCAAATCAATTCTCAACTCTGTGAAACTCAAACATGCCCAACGACTAGTGTATAGTGTGTCTTTTGAGTTATTTATCATTATACCACTCAATTTCTTGTAAAACATCATAATTTGTGTGGTCCAGGGCCCATGGACCACCATGATGGATTAGCACTGTAAAGTGTGAATTGCATGCAGGCTGCAACCACTATAATGTCAGCTACCATAGCTAGATTTACCACTAGGGCATGACCACACTGCAGCAAGAAGTCAGGGTAAGGCTCACGCAGTCTGTATGCTGGTAAAGTATAAAATCTGCCTGGATATTTGTATTAACTCACCAGTTTAATTCACAAGAGTTTAGCAGTCAATGAGAGAAGTTATTTTGGCAAGTATATACAGTACTTATCAGTTTTGTGTTTTCCAGGATACTGCCAATCATATGAGGTAGTTTTATTAGTGCTGTATGTATGGCCAGCTCTGGTTTACTAGTCTGCAGTACTGCCATGCATGCATTGTGAGATGTCTCTGGCACTTTCTATGCCAGCTCCTCCTGCTCCAGAACTAGATTTGTATTGCTTGTGTTAGTCAATATATATATAAAACACACACTACTTTCTTGCTCTGTATTTGTTATAGCAACCCTTATCCTCCCTTTATGCATTGAATATGTCATTTATCAGAGATAAATTACGTATTCAACTAAAAATCCTAAATTATAAACTCACCCCCAGTGCAGGGTTGTTATGTATTTTTCTTGGTGGTTGTTACACTATTGTAACTCACCTTCAGTCCCCACTCCATTGCTTGATTTGTCCGCTTGGGGAGTATCCCCAAACAGAGCAAATCTTATCCATGGCGTTGACATGCTGTATTCATTGGCAGCATCTGAACAGAGTCACATTCTTATACTCCCTACCATGCATGTGCAGTGTCGCCTATAAAAGTAACCATATCAGCCAAAGTTCATGGGCAGTGGTTGCAACACATTAAGAGTAGCCAGGATGACTTACCTGAAATCCAGCGCCAGGTCAAGTTCTCCTGGTTCTGTTACACACCTCTCCACATGTGGTGCCATGTCATCAGCTTCATCCTTGATGCCAAATCAAATGTTCCCCATACAGGAGCATTGATTGGCTTTGGACGCATGCACCAAAGAGGAGGAGGAGGAACTGTAGGGAAACCCACGGTGGTGGACATGGGGAGGGAACTGAGCGGAGGTACAGTGGAAGATAGAGTACAACGGCAGGCACTATTGCAAGGAGAGGGTGTGAGGGAATATTTAAATGTTAACACGGACACTCGTGGAAAGATTGAGGCAGGGCTGTTTGAGGCAGAACACAGTCCAAATGCTTCACTTGCAGATCTGCTCACAGCTTTCCCTGCAAGTTAAAAACAAAAAAAACTGACATCTGTTGCCAGCATGCAGTTCTGATGACATATGTTTTGCTAAGAATTGACATTTGGCAGTCTGGATCAGATTTTTGTGCTGCCAAATCGTGTGTGCCAGGGGTATATCAAGCAGAAACACTGCACATACAGATTCTATCCTCCATGGCCACTTCAAAAAGCATAAGTGGTCATAGACATTGGAGTAACCCTTTACATTTCAAATTCACTTTGAATTCCTGACAATTGTCACTTTTGTGATTAACCTTCTGAATGTATGGGTCGATTGATGCCCCAACACTATATTGAGAATAAGATATTCAAAGCAATTTTGTAATAGCTTTGCACTCTGTGGTTACATTGGTGCACATTGTTACATTTATAGGTTCTCTTAAAGTGTGGTTATCCGAATAGCTTTCACTGAATAGCTGAAATTGAGTTTGTCCAAGCTGCCGTGGAACAATATTTCAATGCTGCAAGTGAATAACTTGCACAATTTCTTAATACATGGAGGAAACCTCTCATGAAGCCCATTAAAATAATACACAACACCAAATAATTAACAAAGCATAAAAAAAATGTTTTATTGGAAAACCCCAATATTAACAAAATGTTCCATTTTACAAAATTTTCAGATACATTTATGTACAAAAATTCAAAAATTTACATTCAACGTTAGCAAGACGTTTGGTTCAACATTTTACTGCCATTTCCTCTTTTAGTTTTTTGAAAACTGCATTCAACTATATATTGAGTACCTTGCAAGATCCCAAAATAATTAGACTAATTGTATACCAAGAAAAACAAAATTACCATAATATATTTACAGCAGTATATACACTCAAACTATAATGTAGAAAAAGGTTACAATTCACATTAGAAGGTCTATTTACAATTCTCCAAATCACAGTCACAGTTTGGCGAGTTTAACATGAATTTGCAATTGTGTTTTGAATTATAGCATGGAACCTAATATATTATCCAACATTTCTATTCTAAAAAGTACTTTAAAGTAAATATGACCCAATGCATAAATGTCTGAAATATACTAGTATTTTATGATCTTGTGTCCAATTTTATTGCTATTATCGAATTCTGCTTAAGCTGTACAGCACTAGAAAATGAAGATGGATTCTACCATTAATCATGTGTAGTGGCTGCTCAATCATATTATGCTAGTTGGAGAAACAGCAGGTTCATTCTTATAAGGGAGCTGATTGAGGATTTACCAGGAAATTGCACATTTTAAGATAGTATAGCCAAAATTAGTTCACTCTCCATTTTGTCCATTATAAGGGCTGCAATTCCACAATGCTTGGTTTAGAGGAAAACCATGTACATGATATCTTTAAGCCATTAAATATCAGCATATTCTGCCTAAAGCTTAAACAAGTTGTTTTTTTTTTTGGAGTGAGTAAATAACTATCAGCCTATGATACAGCTCATACAAATCTGTGGTAAACTTCTCAGTTCAACTCAATTTAAAGAGTTTTCAAGTATGGAAATTAAAACAGTGAAAGAGGGAAAAAAAAAAAAATCACAACTTTTAAAACCAGTTGTTTTAGCAACTTGTTTCAAGTAATACCAACAAAGCAAATTACCGGTAGTTTTTACACATATTCTGTAATAAACAAATGACAATGTCATTCTCTGGTGACTGCCACATTTAGTTGGGAACATAAAATGGCAGCTTGCTGATGACCTTACCAGACTCTGTTTGGATTCGGTCATACACCCATTTCCTGTTGCAGCGACATTCTGGTCCACATTTTGTAGAGCTACATTTGGGACAGGGATAGAAGCATCCTTGGCATTTTTCTTCCAGGCAGTCACATAAGTCTCTGTTATTGCAAAGGAGTTTGCCTTTCTTGTCATACTTCTTCAAAGAAACCCTGAGAAAGACAGGAAAACGGCTAATATTCTAAATATGTCAGACATGCTGACGTGCTTAACTTCTATCCTTGCAGGTGGAGCTCACTCTGCACTCCCCTTTATTAAGCCCACCCTGCGTTGCTTTTGTTAAAAAAAAAAAAAAAAAAAATCCCTTTCCTGTTCACCCCATCCCTGTGCAGAGTGTGCACATGTGCTCTGATTTGCTGAAAATTTTGAATCACATGCTTCTTTATGAGAAGACTGAATGGACCATATGAGGCCTCCTGCTGACATCAGATATGGGAGGGTGATCAGCACCAGGAGATTTGCCCGATGCTGGATTACAGGTATATTTGAATGATGTTTTTACAGGAGGGGGTTTAATAACATTCAATTGGTCATTTTAGCTTGAAAAGAATAATGGTTTTTATATAAAAAAATAAAATAAAAAGGGCTACAGTAACCCTTTATGGTCCATCTAATTATATTTAATGAAAACAAGTGAAGTAAAGTAGCAGCAGTCACAAAGTTACAAGATAAGCATTCACTTCCAAAAAAATAGCAACAATAAAGGGACACTGTAGGCACCCAGACCACTTCAGCTCGTTAGAGTGGTGTGAGTGCAGTGTCCCATCATCCTTGACCCTGAGCATGTAATTATTGCAGTTTTTTCATAAACCTACAATGGTTAACTCCTCCTCTAGTGGCTGTTTACCAGACAGCCACTAGAGGGACTTCTGGGCTGGAAGGTGACTTTTGGTCGCATATATAACACTGGATGTCCTCATGCTATGCAAGAGTACTTCCAGCGTCACCGGAATCCCCATAGGAAAGCATTGAATAATGTTTTCCTATGGGAAAATCCTAATGCAAGATCGGCATGCGCATTAGTTCCCCCCCCCCGCCAACTGGGGAGGATTGAAGGCGGACCCAAGCCAGCACCGAGTGACTTTGACGCTGGACCCAAGTAAGTGACAGAAAATGTTATCTCCCCCTTCTGCACTGTGGGGGTTTTGGCAGAGAGGGAAGCTATAGTACCAGGAAAACAAATTTGTTTTCCTGGTACTATTGTTTCCCTTTAATATGCAACCCACCAGTTGAGCAGACTACATTTGTCATTATGTTCAGTCAAGCAGATTCCACCATGAAGAAAAAAAAAAATGTAAAGTTGATGATGTAATGTAAGCTAGATTACCAACAGTTCACAATCAACTATCAAAAATATAGAGTTGGGAAAATGTATAATATATCGATCCAACTGCCCGTTTAGCAAATACACTGGTGTATCTTACTTGTTTGTAGAGTAATATCCATTCATCTGGGACAGGTAAGCTTTCTTCTTCTGGATTCTAGTCTCTGGGTTGAAATCTGCTACCTGAGGTCCAGGGTTTTGAAAAGCTAAACATTTCAGCTGCCGTTCAATCTGCTGCTAAAATATGCATAAATATATTTAAAAAAAGAAAACCCACAATTTAAAACCAACACTACTGCATTCACTAGGTTATGTAATGCTCATCTAGATTAAAACATATTGCAAAAAAATTAAAACCAGTGTCAGACTAAAAACCAGAGTTTGGTATTACTTCAGAAGTCAAACATTACCATGTGTACAAAATAGCCAAATGAACTTACAAAAGATACAAATAGGCAGAAATGGCACTGCTCCCAAAGTTTCAATTAAATTAATAGTTTTGGCTCTGAGTGACAAAAATCAAACAGTATCCTTTTCTACATTACAAAATGTACTGATTTTGCTAAAAAAGGAAGTGTTCCACATTTTAAAGCAAGTTAGGTACCAACAAAACCATTATGATTCTTTTGGCCTAACTAATAAATAAATTGTTTTTGCATCTTGATCGTTGTAGATCTGCTAATTCCTTTCCTACTTTAAATGGTTCATACATGAATTTAAATATCTAGAAACCCTTGCTCTACTACAAAGCTTTTATAGGATAAAAAAAAAAAAAGTAGCTAGAAGACAAAAAAGGTTCTTTAGAAAATCCCACTAACAAATCTGGGTATCTACTTAGCTAGCTATTACCAGTGGCACTTGTAACTACTTTGATTGGGCTATAGCCTGATCCTAGTGTAAGACTGGCCTACTAATGGGCATGAAGATGTAGTTGCAAAATACAGGTTTTTGAACATCATATCTTGTTCTATCAAGAAAACACCTCTCTGCCATGTTTATTTTAGCTTGACATATGACATTTTCAATTGACGCATTTTTCTCATCTTCCCCATGTTCCTTTTTGCCATGTAAATTTACCATTAACTAACTGATGAAATACACCTGATGCATTACCTAAGCCAGTTTTCCACTAATCTATCTAATATCTTACTTTTGGATCAATAAATGAGTTGGGTTTGAAATTTGTACAGTGTGTCTGTGCGGTTACTTTGAATCTCAGCTCCCAAGGCAGCTTGTGTTTCCCTGTCTCCGGTTAGATTTATATCTATCTATCTATATATACATACACACACATACACACACACGATAACAGGTTTGCTTATCAATGGAGTATTTTTATATTGGTAAACATTTCTTTTATTTTAGTTACATTTTTAATATCTAAGAAACTTACCAGCTGTTTTTGTGCTTTGGGATAATCCTCTTTGTGTGTCTCTGTCTGGACTTGTCTGTCATCATTTCTCATTGTGCTTGATTTCTCGGATTTAACACTCATGTCCAGACCTAGTAGAAAGAGAGATATAGATATAGATATATGTGAGTAACATATTGGAGAGAACATGATTCTTCTGTTTTGTATGACTTTTTATGGGCAAAGCAAAAGCCATTATTACAATGTCAGCAATATCTAAATAAATGGCTATGATATAAGTCAATTGCACACTGGGTCATGCAGTTTTGCCAGGCATTATTTGATATTAAAGCAAAAACTTCAGTTTTTTTTTTTTTGTATTCTTACTGGCTGCTTGATGCCTTCAGCCAATCAGAATGCAGTTAGAAAACTTAGTCTAGGAAATCCACCGGGGTTTAGTCAATAAGTGGTCAAATGCAACCAAACTCTCTTCACAATCTGGCCATATTTTCATAAAAAGGCAGTTTCAGTTATGCCAACTAAATTTGCATTTCCATTCAGCAACCAGTTAACCGTCTGTTAAAATTAGGTGAATCTCCATATGACTTGGTGAAATGCAATGGAACTGAAATTGAATTTCCATAATTCTGTTGATCAAAAACCTCTGATAGAGAAGAAGGGGATTGTACCCATAACACTAAGCAGCTTCAACATGGATGCTGTCCAGGAGATGGGAGGGTCTGGGAGGGAGGGTCTGCTGGAGATTGGCCGGGACGTGTCAGCTGACCGGAGTTCGCCACAAACCGTTCGCAAAAAGTTCGCGAACGGTTCGCGACATCTCTACATCCTAATACTACCTTAAGAATTTTTTTTATGTTCTTTCACTAGTGACACCTAAATAAATGGGTCCCTGGCTGCCCACAGCCCTGTGGCCTCTACTGGAGGTATGGCTAATGCAGAGATTACACACTTCCTTCTAGGTATACATATTCATACCAGCAATAGGCACTGTGAGAGGCTAGAAGCAGTCAGCTAACACTCTTCTCCAATCACAACCACCCATTGCTGCTCAAGCTAATGCATCCTCAATACCCCACAGAAAGTATGGGGTGCAGAGGACTCTTACTTAGAATTTGAACATTAAAAGAAACAGTTTAATGCTGGATTGAAGGACACCAGGTGACTCTATAACCACTTCAATGAGAAGACAGTGTCACTTTAATGTATTAGTGTTCACCAGTCTGCTGAGGTTTATTCCTCTAATTAATTTCTCTAAACATTACTTATGCAAAGTGGACTTAACAGAACAATCCAAGCACCACAAAGTGTCCTGGAGCCCTGTCCATGTACATAATTAAACCGTTTGCTAACAGTCGGCAGGCCAGACAGGTATCTGTATGTCCACTTACATTTTTTTGCTGAGGCCAGGTTTTTCATAAAACAGCTGGCCAGTGTTTCTGCTCTATCAGCTCTTCTCCATGTAACCATAATCTATTGTCCAGTGAAGCCCTGGAATTCCCTCCGCTCCCACCTTTTATGGGAATTAATGTTTGCAGCAGGAGCCAACTCGCACAGAAGTGGGCTACCTCTCCCACCACAGCCCAAACCACCTGACCTAACAAGTTCAGACAGAAAGAGGCAAGTGAAAGGCCTCAGAGTCCTCAGTGCCAGGCAAACTACAAATGCCCAGCATGCCATGATTGATAATACACATCTATGTGTGCCAAGGAATTTGTCTGTAATGATTGTGTCAGAACTTGTCTTTAGTGATCACATGTGTAAGAACTTGTCTGCAGTGATCGTGTGGGTCAGAGAGCTTTTCTGCTGTGATCGTGTGGGTTAGAGAGCCTGTCTGCAGTAATTTTGTGTGTGTCACTGAGCTTGTATGTATTGAGGTTGTGTGTTCCAATGAGTTTGTCTGTAATAAGCTTCACGAAGGCAATAGTTGCCTAAATGTTTGCTATTCTGGTTATACGTCACTTTATTGAGTAAACTCCACTGTGATACTTTGGAGAAATGCATCCCTATACATTTATG